TTCTTTCCTGATATAATATCAATTGAAATTAAAACATGTTAGTTAAATCTGACATTTTGAAATTTTGTCGTTTCATTGTGATCATAGGGCTATTAATTGGTTTGTAGGTTCGTTCCATCCAGATGGTTAACAACAAACTCGTCTCTCTTTCTATCTCTCTCTCTCTCTTATTATTATTATTATTATTATTATTATAATATATATATATATATATATATATATATATATATATATATATATATATATATAGAGAGAGAGAGAGAGAGAGAGAGAGAGATGTCACATTAGTTTCATGAGAAGGGTATAGGACAATCTGGAAATAGAGATGAATGTTGGAGATGGGAGAGAGTATAAAGATGGAGATTGTGATGGTGACATGATTCAACTTAGGATTTTTATTTCCATTTTCAACTAAAGAACATAAATGGTCTCTAAAATTAGAAAATTACGAAAGAAAAATCGGACAAAACAGGACATTTTTGTCATCCTACATCTATTAAACATGACATGTGGAGGGAAATCACTTGAAGGGACTAAAACTGCCAATCATGAAAACCATGGGTGTCATATTTTAGAAACTTGGACTAAATCATGTCGACCACATGGTTCAAAATTGTAATGAACTCGAGATTTATCTAACCATGCCCATTGAAACTTGATCGTTTTTGTAATACGATATTTCTCTTTGGTCTAAAATGGTTAACTCAACTTATTTTATTACAGTAGATCAAAAAGTTCTGAATCTACCATAAAATATAAATATTTGATAATCTAATTCGATGTATAACACCGTCAGATAAAACGATTTTTCTAGATAGTCAAAATTTTTGTAAAGCAGTTAGAGTTATAATAATAAGAAAATCATATTTTATTGGAACATTCACACTCAATATTTGGTCTTATGATATGATAAAGAAAACACAAGTAGCAGCACATCAACCCTTTCGAGGAGTCTTCCAATTCCTCTCAATAAAGAATCAGCCAACTCCATTTTTGCTCTATAAAAGCTCTCCCATGTTCTTGTTCATCTCCCAGAAATACTCGATTTTGATCTTCAAAAGTTTCAAAAATGGGAAAAGTTATACACTTTCTTTTTTGCATTTTGATATCAAATTCGATCGTATCTTTAGCTCAACAAGATTGCAGTTCTTATAACTTCAGAAACAACGAAATCTATGCAACGTGTGTGAGTTTACCTGTTCAAAATTCGATGCTTCACTGGAACTACCACCCGACCAACGGCACCGTCGATGTGGTTTACCGGCACACCGGAGTTTCAACGTCGACGTGGGTGGCTTGGGCTCTAAACTTAAACGGGTCGGGTATGCTTGGAGCTCAAGCTCTTGTTGCTTTACCCAACTCAAACGGATCCGTTCAAGGGTATACATCGGCGGTTACCAGCTACGGCACGGGGCTGCAACAGTCTCCATTGAACTTCGCCGTGCCGGCTATCAGGGCGGAGAGGGTGAACGGTGATGTTTTGATTCATGCGACTTTGGTTTTGCCTGGTGGGAGAACGAATTTTAATCAGGTTTGGCAGTCGGGTCCGGTGTCTAATGGAGCTCCGGGTGCTCATCCTTTGGGTTCTGAGAATCGAAACTCGTTAGGAACGGTGGATTTCATCACCGGTCAGACTGGTGCCGGCGCCGCCGTTGGTGGTTCACTGCTTCACCGGAGAAACGTAAACTTTTCATCTTGAGTTCTTTCATATTATCTCTTTTAACATATAATACGCAAAAGGTACAGGTGATTGATTAAATTATTTTTTGTTGATTTGACAGACGCATGGAGTGTTAAACGCTGTGAGTTGGGGAATACTTATGCCGATGGGAGCCATGGTGGCGCGTTACGTGAAAGTATTCAAGGTGGCTAATCCCGCCTGGTTTTACATTCACATCGCCTGTCAAGCCACCGCCTACGGCGTCGGAGTCGCCGGATGGGGTACCGGACTGAAACTCGGCAGCGACTCCGAGGGTATCAAGTACACTTCTCACCGGAACATCGGGATCACCCTCTTCGTCCTCGGAACTCTACAGGTATTTGCGCTGCTGTTGAGGCCGAAGCCAGACAACATATACAGGAAGTATTGGAACATCTACCATGGCGGCGTTGGGTACACCGTCATCATTCTCGCAATCATCAACGTCTTTAAAGGACTCGATATTTTGGATCCGGAGAAGAAATGGAAGCATGCTTACATTGGTGTTCTTATATCCCTTGGCGCCATTGCAGCCATCTTGGAAGCTTTTACGTGGTTCATTGTTTTGAACAGAAAGGAGGAGAAGCAGGTGAACGGCGCTCATGGAGCCAATGGTTACGGTCGCAGCCATGACCAGGCGGCGTAAGGCAGTGGAGGGCGGAGGAGCTTCATGACCTGGATGTTGCTTCTAGTTTTCGGCCTTAGTCATAGTTCATGTTTATACATTTATTTTTGTGGAGGTTTATTATTGTTGGTATGATGAAATTTATATTCTTTTTTCTCATGGTTGTAATTTTTTAATGTATAAATAATATGTTGAGATTTACTTTGAAAAATTATATAAAAATATAATTGACCGCATTTGATGACACGATTGAGAAGGTGGAAAATGAATTAGTATAATGAAAGTTTTCATTGATTGATTCAACAACTACCTATATATACAACACAATTCAAAGAGAGAACTTTTAACAAACTAACTACTTGACCAACTAACTCTAACAACTTCAACTTAAAGTTAAATTACAAATATGTCCTCGAGGTTCTCTCTCTCTCTCTCTCTCTCTCTCTCTCTCTTGTGGGAGGATATTGCAAAATTCGAAGCAGGGAAATTGCTATTTGATGATTTGGTCCACTCAAAATCTTTGTAAAGACATCAGTTAATTGTTCTTTAGTTTTTACATAAGATAAAGAGATAAGACCATCTTTTCACAAACAAAATGACAGTCTAACTCAACACGTTTCTTACGTTCATGGAACACACGGTTGGTAGCAATGTAGGTAGCTGCCAAGTTGTCACATTTGAGTGGAATCAATTTGATATTTTTGACATGAAATTCATCTAGCAAACTATTGATCCAAGCTAATTCGGTTAACTACTTCTTCAATTTCCAAGAAATTGGACAGCCCCGAAAAAAGATGACATAACCACTAATATATCGACGAGTTAAAGGACATGCCGTCCAACTAGAATCATAAAAGACTTTAATATGATAATTCCAATATGAGTTCTTCAAGTAGCCCAAAGATTTAAATTGTTTAACGTCCCGTTTTCAAAATAAAATTTTCATTTTGAATTAAGGATAAAATATTGTTTGACAATAACGAAGTCAAGAAAAACATATGTGTCAAATACAATCATCCCAAAATATGAAAGTATGAGAACATGCAAAATCATAGGTGGATATTTACAATTGTGTCTTTGCCTTCTTGCGATCATCTTTAGTAGCTAAAACATAATAAATTAACATCTGTTAGCACGAAGGTTAATGAGTTTCCCCAAAAATGTCACATAATATATATATATATATATATATATATATATATATATGAAGCTATATCGGGTCGGTAACAACTTCGGGTCTGTATAAACCTCGATTCTATATTGACTCTGAGCCTAAATCGGTTCCATTGTGTCCGTATCAACCCTTATTCTATAATAACTTCGAGCCCATATTGGCTCCATGCATAGAACAAACAAGCACATCAACAAGAGTCACAAAGACAACATGCACAGTTGACACCTAGTGTCCTATATTACAGTGAGAAGATTCACCTTCTAGGTAGCAGCTAGAACGCAATAGATGTCACACGGTGAAGACTAGTACTACAAAACTCCTAACAACAATAAAGAAGTACACACTCAGTCGACACCCTAAAACCACTTAATTGACCAAAATTCAACCACGGTCAAAGTCAACTCTGACAGGTCTCCATGGCGTGGCTACCCGAGGCCAAGTCTTGGGTACTATAAGACAAAACAGTCGACACTCTCCCTAGTCACCAAGTCGTGGCCACCTAAACGCCACAACATGGGAACTGGGTTTCCAACAACTTAACATATTAAGTTCTTAATTCGTTAGACCATTCCTTCAAACTTTCCAGGAGCCTTTCTAAGGCCTAATACTTCACAATGATTAGTGCTTTTTAATCTTGCATTTCTAATGCAAGTCTAACACTAGAAGTTAGGTTAAAATGAAGAAACACCATTAAAGCTTTAATGGTATTTCTTCATTTTAACCTAACTTCTAGCGTTAGACTTGCATTAGAATTTTTAAAGAGTGTCAAAAAACCGCTACAAGTTATGTGGTTTAAAACCGAATCACAACTAAAAGTGTAAACTAATTATCCACAAGGACCAATATGTATTTTTTAATAACTTGTGGTAAATGCTTGTGTTGATACTCAAATCGTTTGAAGGAGGACAGGTTAAATTCTAGAAACAATCAGAAACTAATATCAAATACTCTTTTTTCGGCTCCAAAATCGTTTTAGGGTCCAGAAAGGATCGCAATCAAATTTCAAGAATGTGTTTACTCTTCAAAATTAACGCGGGAAGTCTTCTTGTTTCTCACCGCCAAAACCATATCAAATTGATTCGAGAAAGGTAATTTCGAGATATTAGGTATCATCTTTGAAATTAGGAACCGATTTTCTTCATCTCTATAAAGAAGATTGATTTATTTAATTACTTTTATGGTCTTCTCCAGTGTGAAAGCGAATCAGCTGTACTACAAGGGTTCTTCTACCAAAATTGTTTTTTATTCAATTGTAAGTCTCCGTGAATGTTAACATTACTTTTCTCTTTTAGTCAATTAAAAATGTTACTGATAGCATATTATTCCAACTTATGCCATAATGGAATTTATTTTTTTGAACACCAAGTGTGCTTGTTGCACACCAACTGTTCGATAAAAAGTCTAAATCAATAATTTATGTTAACTATTATTGTATGGTATCATATTGTTTAATGAAATACTAATCTAACTTGTATGTTATTTTTCATTTTTAATTAAGCATTATGGAAGGAGAAAATACATTGATTGAAGATGTTCCTATACTGGAAATGGAGGAGGAGGACCAATATGATGGATCTGATCTAGATGATTCAGAACATGAAGACAGATCTGACTACACTTCTAGTGATTCTGATAGCAACAACGAGACTACAAAGAAAACAAGGAAGAGGAGATTGACTCGATTGCCAAAGTTACGAACATACCAATTCTGGTGGAAGAAAAAAACGTGTAAAGTTTGATGAATTTGGAAGGTTTGCAGGGAAGTATAAATCAAAACTACTTAGTTATCTGGGAGACTTAGTACGGGAGAGGGTAGGAGTTAGTGTTTTCAACTGGAAGAAGGTAACAAAGTAAGTCAAGGAAAAACTATGGGAAGAAATAACGGTAAATAATGTTTTTTTAATATGCAACTCATATGTTATTGTTATTCTCCAATGCAATTTCATTCATGGCCTAACATAAGCGTTTCTATGAAATTAAAGATAGTCGAAGAAAATATATAATGAATCGGCTTGGTATCCTTCTACGGAATTTTAGAAGAAAATTGTACGCAAAGTACATAAAACCCTACTTAGGGAATACCACCAAGCTTAAAAGAATTCCTAAACGATATCGTACAATAATCCTTAGCCAAGATCATTGGGACAAGTTCGTTGAACACACACAGTCTGAACAATTCAAGGTTAAATTCCTTCTTTTTTTTTTTTTTTCATTATCACTTTTATTTTATAGTTTCTCAAGGTATAAAATACTTATAAGATCCATGAAATTTATATTTTGGAAGGATATTTCGACAAAGACGATAGTAGCGCGTTCGAAGTCGAATTATAATCATCGGATGAGACGGGGAGGATATACGGCCCTAAGAGAGAAATTGGTAAGTTCTACATCTTTTCAATTATGTATGGCTATATGTGTTTGTTTTTTATAAATGTACATACTACACCTATTTGTTCATATTAGAGCATTGAACTAGCATACACCCTTTGTTTGGTTTTCTATTTGCACAAAGTTAACCCTTTGGTTAGTCAAAACGGTGAAAGTGGGACTGCCAATTAGAGCATTATACTTTCAAGTTTTGAAGTACAATGCTTTACTAAAAAGTGGATTTTATATGCCACAACTGATGGAGTAATTAAAAACTGGGACAGTTTAAATGCTAGGGGTATTTTGGGAAAAATTTGAAAGTTATTGCAATTGTTTGATTTATTGGACGTTTATAGTTATCTTCTTTTGTTTCATGTTCCCCAACATCAGGAGAAGACAAATATACCATATAATTTCAAATCTTTTAAATAAAACTATTTTACCAACCATCAAGAATGGTTAAAATCATATAATAACAATACTTTGACTGTTTGTTTCACCTAATTTATTGAAATTTTCTATGTATTTTGAAAGTTATTGCGCTTGTAACGTTTCAATAATTTTTTTCCATAAGATTTTTTATTTTCAGTTTATGTTTTTTATTTTTTTTTATCGATTTTACTTCTATTTTTTTTACTGATATCTCATCAACTGTGAATGTAATTTGCTTTATTACCTTGCTTTGAGTGATATGTCAAAGTAATTGAACCAGTCTAAAATCATCTAATTTAATTGCTTTAGACTTTACCAACTTTTATCATTCATACCTTTTCCACTTTGGTCATGTAATATGCATTATAACTATTATTTTTATGTCTCTCTTTTGATTTTGATTCCATATGAGTAAATATAAATGTTTTTAGCGATATTATATCCAACAAAATATGAGTAGTCCAATAGGTGATCGGAAAGTGAAGAAAGATAAATTATTGTAACCCAAAACACACAATTTTTAAAGAAAGAGAAATCAAATGTTTTTCTATCTTTTATTTTATTCATATTTATTGTAGATCAAGGAAACTTTTCAAATTAAAAGAATAAATAAAGATTAATAGATTTTATATTTTATTATTTTATATATATAGAAATATACAATTTCAAACTTGCTTTCCTATATCAGATTATTACCATTTTCAAACTAACTTTAGTGTTTTATATTGTATTAGATTTCTTTAGTACTAGGTTTCTTTCATGTTTGGTATATATATATATCTTTACTATATTATATTATTAAAGATATTGCTTATTTCTTGAAATTTTATATTATTAAAGATATTGCTTATTTCTTGAAATTTTAGAGGTATACCTATACAACATGATGTACAATCTTTTTTAGCTTACAATGTAACTCATCCCATCTTTACTCTATCTTAACGACAAAACTACAAATTTGGTCCTTGTGGTTTGCAAAAACCTTTAGATAGGGTCCAAAAAGTTTCCGGCTTGCACCGAAGGTCCAAAATCAAGGTTTTTCATTGTTTTTTGTCCAAAAAAACTTGAAAAGTCGATTTTACCCTTTTCTATTTCTTTTTTCTATTTTCTTTATTTAGTTTGGTATTTAAATAATTAAAAAAATAATAAAAAATAAAATCTTACCCAGCACTCTCTCTCTCTCTCTCTCTCTCTCTCTCTCTCTCTCAACTGAAGAACTTCCCATCTCGTCTCCATTGGGAATTATATCAAAAGGGAATGTTGTAGTAGGGGGTTATTTTGACAATTCATCAAGTTGAAAAGGATTTAGGGCTTTTTCCCTCGTCACTTTGACTGATCGGGCAAAAGAGAGACGGATACGAAGCTGCGAACGAAGCAGACGAACGAATAAAAGGGAAGCATGATGGCTCGTAGGGCGCGATTATTCGTTGATCGGTCGTGAGAAGGATTGTCTCCTGGGTCGACGAGACCGAAGAACGAAGATGTGAAGAAGCAGCGAAGGGACGGAGGTCTTCGATAGGGCGAGACAAGCAGCAATGGTAATGACTTTGGTTGTTCGATGTCCAACAGGAGGTATGCGAGGGCCTTTTTGCTCCGTTAATTCCTTGCTTCATCTTCTTTTTGATTTGGTAGGAACAATGAAAAGGTGAAGGGAGAACGAAGGGGGTTTGTAGCTCCCTTGCTCACCGGGAACGCACAAGAAAACACCTCCGACGGAGGTGCTTCTGCCGAAAATCGGGACAGAAGAAGGAAAGAAACAGGAAGAGTTCCTTGATTGTTTTTTTTTAATCTGGTCAATTTTTATGTTCTTCAGTTAAGAGAGAAGGGAGTTTCATTGTGTGTTTATGGGACAAGTAGTGGGGTTCGATTAACAAGATGATGATCAAAGGGAGGGGTATGTCGATGGATTTGTGGAAGATGAATAAGAATAAACCTGAGTTAGGTTAGGGGGAGAGAGAGAGAGAGAGAGAGAGAGAGAGAGAGAGAGAGAGAGAGAGAGAGAGAGAGAGAGAGAGAGAGAGAGTTGGGTAAGATTTTATTTTTTATTTTTTTTAATTATTTAAATACCAAAAACAATAAAGAAAATAGAAAAAAGAAATTAAAAAGGGTAAAACCGACTTTTCAAGTTTTTTTGGACCAAAAACAATGAAAAACTTTGATTTTGGACCTTCGGTGCAAGCCAAAAACTTTTTAGACCCCATCAAAAGATTTTTGAAAACCACAGGGACCAAATTTACAGTTTTGTCCTATCTTAACCCTAACATCCTCGACACAACATCAGACGTCGTCAAACCCATATCTATTCTATCTCTCTTCTCTTCTTACTTGCTTCAGTTTTCGGTGGACCTTCGGTACCACCACCCTCTTCACTCTCTTTCCGCCGCCGCTGCAACTTGTAGAAGGTCACCGGACATCCCTTCATCCATTAAGTGTCATGTGCTCAATCAAATACTCACCACCACTGCTCCACTCATCGCACTTCTGATAAATCTAGAACCAACATCGCATAATGCCATCATCACCAACTAACCACTATCTCGGAACCCCTTCCTCCATCGCCTTCATCCACCATCACAGAAAAACCCCACCACCGTCAGCAACTAACCACTATTTGTTGAGTTTTAATGAAAACCTCCTCCCAAATACTTTCACATCGATTAACCCATTTCAATCTCTCTGCTCCATCTCTTTCAGTCACAAACCCTAGCTGTACCACTCACTTTTCCCTTTTTCTACGCACCACCTAAATAACGCCACCACCATCCTTCTGAATCACTGTAAATCATATACATCGTCGCCTTCTTCATATACCCTAGAAGCCACTTGCGTAATTGTAACCACCTCCTTCCCCTGTATCTTCCTTATGACCTATTCATACGCCAACCCTATGCAGCTTCATGAAATGAAATGACCACAAAATATTTGAACGTCGAAGTAAGTATCTATACCTATGTTTATGAAATTTTCATTAACTGGTCTATGTTTATTTATTTATTTATTTTGTTGTTCATCATCTAGCCATGGATTATGCATTAACATAACTTTATTTTAGTGGGTTGACATCAAATGAGATTAGTGTCGATAAAGTTCCCCTTTTTTATATGTATCCCATGGAGTCGCCTTCACATTTGATAAAAGACAAAACTTTTCCCTTTTTGCAATCTTATTTTTTATTGGAAAATTATTTGCAGTCTTGGATCAAATATGGCACCACTTAGACATGCGTATCCATTTGATATAGGAGTTTTCTTACATATAAACTACAGGTGTAGTCTGTGAGGCGTTGTAGCGACCTGCCACTTGATACCCAGATGTTGAAACCATGAGTACTTTTGATGTATGTGGTGCTTCCCATCCTGAAGGAGATGTGGTAAGAATCAACTTAAATAAGATTTTGATTATACTATTTTCATATATTATAAATGATAATGTTATTTTACTTATAAGTTTATTCATTGTGTAAACGTGATGGTGGCTATTGCATCAGGTCAAAGTTATGGAATATGAAATCATCATCTATCCTTGGTGCACCCATAGAAAAGTCATAATTTAAAGCTCATATTTATACTAATATTATTGAAATGCCCTTTTGCATCATTTGGTGGTATACAAATCTGGCATTCCGTTGCACAAGTTTGTTATTTGTTCATGTGACAGACTGAAATGGTATGAGATATTTGCTTAAAATGTTTAAAGATTACTC